TTTTAGTAGAGACAGGGTTTCACCATGTTGACCAGGATGGTCTTGATCTCTTGACCTCGTGATCCACCCGCCTCGGCCTCCCAAAGTGCTGGGATTACAGGCTTGAGCCACCGCACCCGGCCAACTCTACTTTTTGAACGAATTATTAGATTTGGTGCTGTCTTGTGAAGTAACTTGATATGAGAGATGTGTAGTATGAATTTTGGCCACATGGTTATGCCCTTGGCAGAATTGCACATATCTGAAATTGTTCCCTAATTTTTTTCTAGTATTACTATCCAACACTTCCATTCATAGTCACTAGTGTATTTTATAATTGTTAAGTGTCCTTTATTCATATATTTAAATATTTTAAAAGAATATTCTGGTAGGATTTTGAGGCCTAATAGTGTATTACCATTGTTTGATCTATTAGAAGGGCTACTTCCTGATACCTGCATTGCCTTCCCAATCTGTTTATCATGAACTTCCAAATTTTGGGAATTCCTGTCTCACTAAGCAGTGATAATGGAAATTTGCTAGTAATTGTTTATAGTTTGTGATAGTGGCATTAGTAACATTTCCCTTCAGAGATTATTACTCCAGTAGCAATCTAGTTTGCTGTTCTATTAGTGAGCCAACATTAATAGTGTAGCTTTTTTGAGGGGATTGTAATTTTTAGCTATTGTAGTAGGTTCAGATGTGTAGTTTTGCTTGTATGATTTCTTTGTTTATAGCTCAGTTTTTGTTACGTGATATGTGAATTAGTAGGCTTGCCATTAGCTGTATACAACATAAAAACTAGATTTTTCACCCTTGAGCCTTAAAACTCCAAGGAGCCATCCAGATTTGTGTAGTCTGTTGGAATAAAAGGACTAGAAAGAAGCATTGTTACAGAAACCTTGCAGTACGCAGTTCACCCAAAAGACCTTTTAGAAATGTTAGTTCACCACTCCCATGGGAAATTTGGTTGTAGGAAGATCATAACATAATCTGATCTCCTTACCATAGAGGCAAAAAAATATATTCAGTTAAAAGCTGTTTACTTATAATATCATTTTATTTCCACAACAAGATGAGTGACATCTTTAAATTGGTCAGTGTAATTATATTAAAATGGCTAGTTTCCAGTACAGTAATTTCCTCCATTCCTTATCTGTGGGGGATAGGTTCTAAGTCTCCCGGTGGATCTGTCAAACTAGATAGTACCGAACCCCATGTGATTTTACCTACACATGCATACTTGTGGCAAAGTTTGAGGTCTGACAGCAAAATTAGCATGAATTTCTTTTTCCTGCACAATTCCTCAAACTCCTGGGTTCAAATGGTCCTCCTATCTTGGCGTCCCAAAGTGCACTTAGATTCGTTACTAAAGCTCTAGGCAGCCTTGGTATACAACTTTTTTTATCCCATTGTAAACACTTACCATTTTACTAAAGAAAGCATTTCATGGCTTCTCTTTGGAATATCTGAATTGTTGGCATCACTATTCTTATATTGGGGCCATTGTTAAGCACTGTTACTGCAACAGTCAATCTGAACCGAGAAGGGCACTGACTAATGGGTGGTAGCATATAACGTGGGGTATACCCTGGAAAAAGGAGTGATTCTTTTTGCTGGACACCATTCAATTTAAAATTTATGAATTGTTTATTTCTGAAATTTTCCAGTTAGTATTTTTGAACTGTGTTTGACCCCAGGTAACAGAAACTGTGTAAAAGAAAACCATAGATGAGGGGAGAATACTGTAACTTTAGGGCTCTTCCCCCCATTTCTGTTTTTTTTTGTTTTTTTTTGTTTGTTTGTTTGTTTGTTGCATTTTAGGTTTGGGGGTACATGTGAAGAACATACAAGATTGTTGCATAGGTACACACATGGCAGTGTGATTTGCTGCCTTCCTCCTCTTCACCTATATCTGGCATTTCTCCCCATGCTATCTCTCCCCACCTCCCTGTCCCTCCCCCATTTCCCCCCAACAGACACCAGTGTGTAGTGCTCCCCTCCT